GTGTTTAATTTACCAATGGCCCTGCCTCACTAGTTTTCAGTGGTAAATTGCTGGAGCTAATTTTCTACATTTCTTTGTTCTAATTAACTGAATTAACACCGCTGGGTTTTTTCTAAATTTAAAGGATACATTGATTCATATTTTTCTAAAACAAAAGGCCTTTGAAAAACCAATCAAAATTTTATGTACAGGACTGTACCAATATTCCAATCCCAAAAAACTGGTATTCAGTTCTATTTCACATCTGAAACTTTTCTGTGTACAGTAATGAATGATATTTTCCTACTATTCTGTTATACTGTAGCTGTTCAATGTTCTTTATTGCATTTTATTTAGATACCTTCTCCTATAAAACTACTCAAGTAGTTTTTTTGATGTATTGGCAATTTTACATTTCAGAGTAGTATTAATTTGTATATATAACCTTATTAACTCTTCCTTGTTGCTTTAACAGTATATTGTATGTGTTAGTTGTGGAGTGTATTAATCTTTCCTCACCAGTAAAACCTGTTTAGAATATCAAAACATTGAATAGAGAACAGTGATTCTCTTCTAAAGCTTTGAAACTTTAACCTGTCAAAACCAAATGAAACACTTTCCAATTGTATAAATTGAAGTCAGGACTTATAAATTTCTATCATTAATTGTGAATATGTCACATTAACAGACTGTAACAGGTTTTACTTGACATTAACCCATTGACCTTGTCTGTGCAGTTCCTATCTCGCTTTCCTACAAAGGGGAAAGGTCGTAACCAAAGCCGTTCTGTTTCCTGGAAAGTAAGAATCATAACTTGCTATTTAGCTAATTATTTACAAGTTTCATATAGATGTTCTGGCTGGCAAGTGTGAGTCACCTTATATACATGTACACTATATACACTCTGACTGGCTAGTGGGAGACACCTTATATACATGTACACTATATACACTCTGACTGGCTAGTGTGAGCCACCTTATATACATGTACAATATTTACACTCTGACTGGCCAGTGTGAGTCACCTTATATACATGTACAATATATACACTGACTGGCTAGTGTGGGTCACCTTATATACATGTACAATATATACACTCTGACTGGCCAGTGTGAGTCACCTTATATACATGTACAATATATACACTGACTGGCTAGTGTGGGTCACCTTATATACATGTAAAATATATACACTCTGACTGGCTAGTGTGAGTCACCTTATATACATGTTCAATATATACACTCTGACTGGCCAGTGTGAGTCACCTTATATACATGTACAATATATACACTGACTGGCTAGTGTGGGTCACCTTATATACATGTACAATATATACACTCTGACTGGCTAGTGTGAGTCACCTTATATACATGTACAATATTTACACTCTGACTGGTTAGTGTGAGTCACCTTACCCAGTATATACATGTACAACATATACACTCTGACTGGTTAGTGTGAGTCACCTTATATACATGTAAAATATATACACTCTGACTGGCTAGGGTGAGTCACCTTATATACATGTACAATATATACACTCTGACTGGTTAGTGTGAGTCACCTTATATTCATGTACAATATATACACTCTGACTGGCTTATGTGAGTCACCTTATATACATGTACAATATATACACTCTGACTGGCTAGTGTGAGTCACCTTATATACATGTACAATATATACACTCTGACTGGCTAGTGTGAGTCACCTTATATACATGTACAATATATACACTCTGACTGGCTAGTGTGAGTCACCTTATATACATGTACAATATATACACTCTGACTGGCTAGTGTGAGTCACCTTATATACATGTACAATATATACACTCTGACTGGCTAGTGTGAGTCACCTTATATACATGTACAATATATACACTCTGACTGGCTAGTGTGAGTCACCTTATATACATGTACAATATATACACTCTGACTGGCTAGTGTGAGTCACCTTATATACATGTACAATATATACACTCTGACTGGCTAGTGTGAGTCACCTTATATACATGTACAATATATACACTCTGACTGGCTAGTGTGAGTCACCTTATATACATGTACAATATATACACTCTGACTGGCTAGTGTGAGTCACCTTATATACATGTACAATATATACACTCTGACTGGCTAGTGTGAGTCACCTTATATACATGTACAATATATACACTCTGACTGGCTAGTGTGAGTCACCTTATATACATGTACAATATATACACTCTGACTGGCTAGTGTGAGTCACCTTATATACATGTACAATATATACACTCTGACTGGCTAGTGTGAGTCACCTTATATACATGTACAATATATACACTCTGACTGGCTAGTGTGAGTCACCTTATATACATGTACAATATATACACTCTGACTGGCTAGTGTGAGTCACCTTATATACATGTACAATATATACACTCTGACTGGCTAGTGTGAGTCACCTTATATACATGTACAATATATACACTCTGACTGGCTAGTGTGAGTCACCTTATATACATGTACAATATATACACTCTGACTGGCTAGTGTGAGTCACCTTATATACATGTACAATATATACACTCTGACTGGCTAGTGTGAGTCACCTTATATACATGTACAATATATACACTCTGACTGGCTAGTGTGAGTCACCTTATATACATGTACAATATATACACTCTGACTGGCTAGTGTGAGTCACCTTATATACATGTACAATATATACACTCTGACTGGCTAGTGTGAGTCACCTTATATACATGTACAATATATACACTCTGACTGGCTAGTGTGAGTCACCTTATATACATGTACAATATATACACTCTGACTGGCTAGTGTGAGTCACCTTATATACATGTACAATATATACACTCTGACTGGCTAGTGTGAGTCACCTTATATACATGTACAATATATACACTCTGACTGGCTAGTGTGAGTCACCTTATATACATGTACAATATATACACTCTGACTGGCTAGTGTGAGTCACCTTATATACATGTACAATATATACACTCTGACTGGCTAGTGTGAGTCACCTTATATACATGTACAATATATACACTCTGACTGGCTAGTGTGAGTCACCTTATATACATGTACAATATATACACTCTGACTGGCTAGTGTGAGTCACCTTATATACATGTACAATATATACACTCTGACTGGCTAGTGTGAGTCACCTTATATACATGTACAATATATACACTCTGACTGGCTAGTGTGAGTCACCTTATATACATGTACAATATATACACTCTGACTGGCTAGTGTGAGTCACCTTATATACATGTACAATATATACACTCTGACTGGCTAGTGTGAGTCACCTTATATACATGTACAATATATACACTCTGACTGGCTAGTGTGAGTCACCTTATATACATGTACAATATATACACTCTGACTGGCTAGTGTGAGTCACCTTATATACATGTACAATATATACACTCTGACTGGCTAGTGTGAGTCACCTTATATACATGTACAATATATACACTCTGACTGGCTAGTGTGAGTCACCTTATATACATGTACAATATATACACTCTGACTGGCTAGTGTGAGTCACCTTATATACATGTACAATATATACACTCTGACTGGCTAGTGTGAGTCACCTTATATACATGTACAATATATACACTCTGACTGGCTAGTGTGAGTCACCTTATATACATGTACAATATATACACTCTGACTGGCTAGTGTGAGTCACCTTATATACATGTACAATATATACACTCTGACTGGCTAGTGTGAGTCACCTTATATACATGTACAATATATACACTCTGACTGGCTAGTGTGAGTCACCTTATATACATGTACAATATTTACACTCAGACTGGTTAGTGTGAGTCACCTTATATACATGTACAATATTTACACTCTGACTGGTTATTGTGAGTCACCTTATATACATGTACAATATATACACTCAGACTGGCTAGTGTGAGTCACCTTATATACATGTACAATATATACACTCTGACTGGCTAGTGTGAGCCACCTTATATACATGTACAATATTTACACTCTGACTGGCTAGTGTGAGTTATTAATTGTCTTTCTTTGTTAGAAGTGGAGATTGTACTGTTTAATTTCAGTGATTACTTTTATCTTAATTTTAAGGTTTTGAATAATATGGTCCAAAGGACCAGGAAGTTTATGCATTATAGGGGTTCCTGGTGTCTGTTCCATGCCATCTGTCAACTTTTTCATTTAAAACACTGCTAGTCCTGAATGACTGCATGAGGAAATAAATCTACCACTGGGCCTTAATCATGTGCCTGGTCATTTTGAAGTCCCTGGGTCACAACATAAAAATGGTTGAGATTCCTAATATCTAGCCATACATATAGATTCGGGGCATGACGAAACTAACACAATCATGTTTCAAGGATTTAGCCTTGGTCCAGCCATATTGACTTAATTCCTGGATAATAAAATACATTGAGCTCCCCATTCATCAAGAATAATAACATTGAGCTCCCCTTTCATCAAGAATGATAACATTGAGCTCCCCTTTCATCAAGAATAATAACATTGAGCTCCCCTTCCATCAAGAATAATAACATTGAGCTCCCCTTTAATCAAGAATAATAACATAGTGCTCCCCTTTAATCAAGAATAATAACATTGAGCTCCCCTTTCATCAAGAATAATAACATTGAGCTCCCCCTTTCATCAAGAATAATAACACTGAGCTCCCCTTTCATCAAGAATAATAACATTGAGCTCCCCTTTCATCAAGAATAGGCAAGAAGAGATGAACACAGTCATGCTTTCAGGATTGGCCATGGAGGGGTCTTGCTGCACATGAGACAATGTCGGAAAGGGGGAAAATCGAGTGTTATATTTTTCAAACCCTAATCCTCTTGACTGAATTATTGGGTATTTAAACCAAATTTGCTATGAAGTTTCATTGGTACCAGGAAAGGTAGTGCTATGTAAAGAAAGGGTGCTTTCCTCAATGGTACTAATAGACAACACTGTAAATGGGAGAGTGTTTGTAATATGCATCACTTAATTTAAACGTTTTGCCATGATTGCTTGAAAATTCCAGGTGAGTGATTCCAGGCTCTTTTGGCCTCTTGGTTATTATATCTTTTTCTGAATCCCTATCTGACCGTTAATTTACAGACATTTTTATAGCATTTGAAGTAATTTATACTTGACACACAGTATCAATTTGAAGGTTTACTGAGATCTGTCTACCTGTGCTTTAAACCTTTATCACTTGAGTCACATCGCTTGTGTCCATTTGAATGGGTTTTTATCTGCACTTTGATCTTTGCATGATCAAACAAAGCATGTTCACATTTCATCTTAATTTTGAAATTTTAATTACAAGCAATTTGCATGCAGAAACTTACTATGGCTTTTTAACATTTTTGTTTCATTTTATTCTTTCATCATTTTTGTGATATTTTGACTGTGTATACTCACAGGGATTCAGATTATGGTCTTAAAAATATAATGTGCAGTTGATCTTAAATGGTTACTAGTACACCATAGCTATCAGCAGTGTAGTAGTCTTCTTATCATTATCAAATCAGATGTCAATGAAATGTGTTATAAAAAGACAGATTCTGCCATTATTTGTATGTTACTGTTAATTTTAGACACAAGAAACCCAGCCAGATACGACACCACAGTCGACACAACCAGACAAGGGAGCTAAGTTTAGTCAGCTGTCTCTCATTATGAAACTGAAACCCCCACCTACACCTACAGGTAAATGCTTTGTTGATAACATCATCACGATTTCTTATTTTTATTTTCAAATTCATTTTGATTGTAACGGAAAGGATGAAAAAATACTACTACTTTTAAACCCATAGTAAAGTCTTTTGATGTATATATTTTAACAATATTTTACAGGATAATTAAGCCTTTGTTCGGCAATAATAATACAGTGAAAATTTGCTGAGAATGTCTGATATTTCGATCACACCTTGAACTGTTTTAAGTCATTTCTTAGTTCCAACTCACCTGTATATAATTATCCTCATATGCCACATTTCCATTGATTAATTTGATATTCAAGATCTCTGCAACAGTAGGGTAAAGATGGGTGAATTCTTAGTTATGATATATATATAATTAGAATGAATCACATGCTTTTTATTTCTATATATTGTTACACATGTGAGACTTACAGTTCATTGTTTGTAACTTGTCACCTTATCACATCGTTTAAATTCCAGCCATTGAAAAGAGAGGTAAATCTTTAATTACTGGTTTGCTAGACAGACACTTTTTTATTTGTAGCACTTTGTCTGTTCCCAGTCACATCACACTTGTGACTTGCATGTTCACCAAAGTCTTTCTTTAAATGTAACTAGTCTGTTACAGAGATAAATAGCACTATTTTTGGTAAAGGATATATATCACTGGTAAAGTTATATATGTAATTAATCTCCTGGATGTTCAATGCACACAATCATAATTTGTCTTAGCTTTGAAAGCTTCAAACATCAGCATGCGCATAATTGTTTTGTTTAGCATGTACATAATCTATCTATAATCTGGCATGATAAATGAATAAACAAGACACTGCATGCATAACTCCAATTTTCCCTATTTTCCATGATTAAAAAAAAATTACTCTATTTTTATTCCATAATGCTACTATTTTGAAAAATTCTAAATTGATTCTTAATTGGAGATCTAAATTGAGTTTTTTTAGGTCACCTGAGACAAAGTCTCAAGTGACCTATTTCGATCGCCTTTTGTCCGTCGTCGTCCGTCGTGCGTCCATAAACAATTTACATTTTCGACTTCTTCTCCAAAACCCCTGAACCAATTTCGATAAAATTTTGCAGAAACCTTCCATGGCCAAAGGTCAACAAAAAAGTGGAGGATATGGTCCCCAGCCCCCAGGGGCCTGAGGGGCAGGGCCAAAAAGGGTCAAATTGACTAAAATTTCAAAAATCTTCTTCTCAAGACCCAGATATGGTAGAATCAAATACTCTTCATAGATGGAAGGGTCTTAAGGTGCTTTACCAAAATTGTGAATTTCATGACCCTGGGATCCCACGTTTCTCCCTGGGGAGGGGGTAAGCTTTACTATAGTTTATATAGGGAAATCACATTTTGGACCAACATTTGTTTAATTTCCATTGGAAGTAATTCAATTTGGGTTAGCATTATCAGTATTAGGTAGCA